GTGTGGGACTTGGAGCCCCGCTGCTAGGCTGACCCTGGGCGGGTGGGCGCCGCGGGGGAGGGCACGCGGGCCCCGGGCGGGGGCTTCCCGGCCCGCTGCGCGCGAAGGGGACCCGGCCCCGAGGAGCACGGGTGTGTGGGTGGGAAGTAGCGGGCGTTCGGGAATGCGGCGGTCCTTCCTGGAAGAATGAATGAATGAAATGTCACTTGCTCTTCTCTGAGCAATACAATGCCCACTTAAAGATTTGCCAGGAACTGTGATGACTTGCATCGTCATTGCCGCTTTTACCTGTTCAAACTTGTGAAGTGAGGGTCCCCCCCCTCCTCTAAACTTACGACCTTGGCCTGATTCTCAAAGCCATGGAGCTAAGCCCCGGAGCTAACCAAGCCGCGCCTCGCATTTTCTGGCTAAGTAGTCTTGGTGATTGTGAACTGTTTCTGGAGGGCAGAGGATGGTACCTTCATCACACCTTATGCTTAATACATTGACTTAAAATTCTTCCTTCAAGAACCCTGAGAGGTGTGTGTAGGAGGTGGTGGGTAGGGCAGGGGAGCGGTGTCTTTCCTCATTTCGCAGATGAAGAAGTTGGGGGTCCTAAGGAGTTGTAACTTTTCAGGTCACAGACTAAGCAGCAGAGTTGGGATTCACACCCAGGCCTTACTAATCCAGCACTCTCTACATCACGTCTGTGTCTAGACCTGGATCGTCTGTTGTGGTAGGCACTAACCACATGTGGCTACTTAAATTAATTAAATTGAAAAAAATTTAGCTCTTCACTTGCACTAGCTACATTTCAATAGTTCAGTATCCAAATTTGATCAGTGCCTACTATTGATCAGTGCTTGTCTAGACTACATATCCATTTATTTACTCAGTAAATAAATATTTATTGAGTGCCTCCTCTCTAGGAGGCAGAGTTTTAAGTCCTGGGTATACTGTGGTGAAAAAGAGAGACAACATGCCCTTGTTTTTATGGCGCTTGCACTTTATATGATAGTTGAGGGATGTTTCCATGGTATTTCGGAGCCTTGCTAATTCAAAGTGGTTTGTAAACTCGCAGCAGCAGCCCTGTCAACTGGGAGTTTGGAAGAAATGAAGAATCTCAGGTCACAAACCACATTAACTGAATTAGTATCTGTTAAAGTGACTTAACAGATCACAGGTGATAGAGCGAAGATCCATCTCAGCTGATTGGTGTTCACTTTGAAAACTTTATGCAAAATACCGGTGATAACTGGTTGAGGAATGTTCTGATGGATTGTTTGGTGGGGCTTTTAAGACTCTTGGAAGCTTTCACCATTTATGCAAATACTTGTTAAATGCCTGGCTTCTCCAATAGAGTATAAGCTTTATGAGAGCAGAGATTGTCTTCCTAAACTTCAAGGTGCCTGTTAAGCAATGGGGCGCTCAATAAATGCTTGTTGAGTACAATCATGTGCCAAAGGAAGTTTGAGTCAACAACAGACCACAGATATGATGATGGTCCCATAAGATTATAATGGAGCAGAAAGATTCCTTTTACCATAGCCCTCGGAAATTGTAGCACAACACGTTATTCATATGTTTGTGGTGATGCTGGCATAAGGAAACCTGA